AAATTTAATATATTTTTAAAATGGAATATTGAAAAGAACTCTTTAAATATATACATAATATATTAATATATGTGTGTATATATGAACACACGAAATATAAATATATACATAAGATTGTATATTTAAATTATGTATTATATTTTTAAATGGAATATTTAATTCAGAATGAATTTCATATTTACATTTATCATTTAAATATAAAATATAATATATATTAAGTATAATAAATCATTTGTATTTTACATGTTATGCGAGTTACATCAACAATATATTTATATGTAAATTTTATAAATGTATAAAATATGCATTAAAATAAAAAAATATATGTATAAAAATATGATAAATTTTCACACACACACACACACACACACACAGGTTCGAAGCTAGTGTGAAAATGTGAAAACATGACCGTTTTTGACACTTTCCAAAAATGAAAATAGACCCTTTTATTTAAAGATACAAAGCAAAATACCGGTCATCCATCATATGGCCAATTTAAAACCACAGCTGTCTGGACTACACGTGATTGTGTGACTCGGGTGAAGTTTTACCTGAGCTGACGCCCCAGTTTGCGAAAATGACAAGCGATAGTTAGGAGACTGAGAGAGGCTGGCGTGCTCAGCACACACGCTCTGTAGTAATGCAGGTAACGCCGCAGCCCACCTGTGAAGGCCTAAAACACACACACAAGCATCTGTGTAACATGTTGTTATAGGAAAAGAACATACAGGATGTGAAATGCTGGTCCTAGATCAGTCCTAAAGTAAAGCATGCGTCACCTGGAAGACGAGTCCCTTCTGACTCGTGCTGCTCAGGGAGAAGCGGCTGAGACGCAGGTAGTGTGTGCCGTACAGCGCCAGCTCACCCAGCAGCCGAGACACACTCTCAGGGGACGTCCCGGACACACATATATCCGGACGAACATCAAACTGCACACTAGCCTTGAGCGGAGAATAAAGCAAGTCAAGAAAAAAGTTCTTATTATTTGATTTCCTAATAATAAATATCCTCGTATGATTCAAGGTTTTCCCAAAATATTCGCCTCTGGCATGTTACTATGCAGTTGCTAGGGTGTTCTGAGTAGTTGCTTACAGGCTCAAGTAAAAAGAGTAGCAGTGACACTTACATGTTTCACTCTGTAATGTCACATTATGAAAGGCAGATGTGCTAAATTTCATTGTCATCAATTCTCTTCACACAAAATGCTTCTATGGGCCGTCATGCATCACAAATGTGTTTCTTTGTTGTGTAGTTAATTCCACTACCTCGTTGAGCGGAAACGTGACAGAGGAGACCCCGATCAGCACGTTGAGCACGTCTTTGACCAGCTGACTCTGACAGTCCAGCGGCAGCGGCAGGAGCGGTGATGGTGTCTGTGTGGACAGAATGTTCCTCATTTCTCCCTCCCACAGTCGGTACAGCTGATCAAACGCCTCTCTGCCAGCCTCTGTCAGGTACGGAGGTTCCTTCTGACCCGGCGGGCTGAAGGAGAGAGAGGATGACAAATGTGGACCATCTTCAAACTACGTCTCTGAAACAAGTTGGCAGGGGGGAAATGAATGCATTGATTTGGTATTTTTTAAAGGGATAGTTCACCCAAAACTGACATTTCTGTCATAATTTACTCACCCTCATTTAGTTCCAAATCTGCATGACATTCTTTCCCCTTGTGAAATGCAAAAAATAATAATATTTTGAAGAATGCTGGTAACCAAAACAGAGTTGCTTCCAATTGTATGGTCAAAAAATATAATGGAAGTCAATGGGAACCAACTGGAAATGTTGGTTACCAACACTCTACAAAATCAAACTTTTTCTTTTGTGTTGCACAGCAGAAAGTCAGTCACGTCTAACAACATTAGGATGAGGAAATGATGACAGAACTGTCATTTCTGGGTGAACTAGTTCATGCATTCATGACCTCTAGACTGGACTATTGTAATGCACTGCTAGCTGGTTGTCCTGCTTCTTCAATAAACAAGCTACAGGTAGTCCAAAATGCAGCGGCTAGAGTCCTTACCAGGTCAAGGACTGACAGTCACCACTGATAAGCTACCACTAAATATTGTAGAAACTTAATTTGCTGTAAAGTTGCTTTGCAATGATTTGTATCGTGAAAAGCGCTGTACAAATAAACTTGAAAACTTGAATTGAATTGAACTATCCCTTTAATAAATTATGATAATTAGAATATCACAAGGTATTACTTATTATATCATATTTATTATATAATTTTTGTAACATTATTATTATTATTACTTTAATAATTATCGATTTATTATCCAAAATAAACCTTTTGACATAATTTTAACAAAAATAACATTAAATAAACTGAAAAATTAAAATATTTGTTTTGTGAAGCAATTTGGGCACCTGTGTTATTTTAGTATCACTGAGATACTATTACAGTTATTAATATTTTGAATCAGTTTTTATTTTTACATTTTCCATTTCTATTTTAGTTTGAGTTAGAATTTTACTAATTTTGTTGTGTGTTGTTATTAGTTATATATACATATATATATATATATATATATACAGTTTTTCTTCATTTCTATTTCAGTTTTAGTTTTAGTTATTTTAGTACATTAAGTTAAACTAAATTAAATTGAGAAATATTACCTTGGCAACTAGCTGGAATTTTACATTTTATTTAATTTATATTTTTTATTTAATTGTAATATTTATTTCACTTCAAGTAATAAATGTTTTTCAATGGTTTTAATTTTAGTTTCAGTTTTAGTGAACTATATTGTCTACAAAACTAATTTCCAAATTTACAGATCTTCTTTATGCACCAAGAGCTTGTAACACTCCAAAGAGAAAGGAAAAATTGAAATCGCATCATATGATCCCTTTAAGAATAAGCCTTTAGACAAGGTTTTTGGAATACGTAAATGGAGTCGAAGTGTTTAAAAATTTTTGATCGATAATGTATTTTAGAAAGTGATTCTAAATCAATATTTGGTCAATTCAGTTTAAGTGTTTTGATGCAGATTTGAAAAAATCATTAATCAAACCACTGTCAGTCAGAGCAGATGTTTACATACTAGCCTGCTCGACTCTCTCTTACCAGCCAATGTTCTCCCAACAGCGTCGTCTTCCAGGCACGAATGTCCGCAGGGCCTCCCACACGTCGATCTCAGGGCTGGGACTCGGCTCGGATTGGGAATCTGGAGTCAGATTAGAGGCGGACTGAAAGCCTTCATCGTCAGACTGATCCAGACACAGAGGAACCTGCAGAAACAAGAGCATATAAGCTACCAGAGAGGACCGTTTTTAGGAGAAAATACTAGTATTGATACTAATTTAGTATCTTCACCCGTATACTGAGTCCAGTAAGGTCTGCGTTGCTTGGAACGGGCGGCAGGTCCAGACGGACGTCCATATCTGCTGTTCTAGAGTGCTGTAGGGCACCAAACAGCGACAGTCGGGTCTCTCTTTCAAACCTCTCCTCGGTATCCTGTCTGCGTCCCAGTCCGAGCAGCCCAGTGCCTGGTGGAGCATCCATGATGCTCAGGGTCCTACAGATGCCCCCAAAAACGCCCCATTCCTCACCACAGATCAAAGACCACGCCCTCTCCTCCAGCTGCTGCATGTCCCGGCTCAGGTACCCGCCCAACGGCGGTCTGCGCTGCACGGGACGTTCCCGGCGCATATAGTCACGACTGAAAGACAGAGGGGGAGGTGCCACGGACCCGGCCAGCTGCACCAGGAGCTCCAGGACAGAATCGAGTTCGGACAGTCCCGAGGAGTCCGCCCTGTCCCGTAGCTGACTCAGAAGCTCCTCCAACCTCTCCGCCTCCTCATTGTGGCCAGACACGCGCAGGTCGAACGAGATCATCAGTATTTTATTATGGGCGGGTGTGTTCGATAGGGGGTTCGGTGGCGGTTTGGGTGACCCATCCTGGAAGAGTCCAGCGAGAAGCGCACCGTACGCACGCTTGCGCAGGGACCGACGCGCAGACTCCCGGGATGCTGCGCCCAGAGCGCGGCGTTTCCATGACAACCCGGAAAGGCCGCAGTCGCAGAGCGCACCCAGCAGCCCCGTGATGCTGCCGCTGTTGCCCTGGCAACCAGACATCTCAGCAAGAGCGCGCGATCAAGATGCAACGAGACCTGCGCAAAACAAACTATATTAACGTCACGAAATCATGAAATTCATACAATAATTAATTGCTTGAGAATATGCACAGTATCAATTGTCCTTAAATAAAGTGACTTTGAGCTTAGGAAAGGTATAAATTATATTTTGTGTATCTTCTAGTTCTATAAATAAATATTTACGTCTGAAATATTTAATATTATATTAACATCTTACATTTACTATTATGTTATTTGCTATATCTTTCTGTTTCAATAAATGAAGCATACATGATCCAAACCCAACAGCCACAGCAGATGAAATACATTCTTATATATATGAATATTTAAGGTTATTACACTCATAACTGGGTTATTTAGCAGATAAAACATTTTAATTTGCCGTATTTAATACTGAAGGCAGTAAACAAACGCAACTGCAGCGTACAAACGCCATCACGCTCACATATACGTGTCTAAGATCTTTTACTCACGTTGGAATTCGAGCTTAAGCTGTCCGAGCTGCAAATGTTTATTCCACATCAGTGAATAAATATTATTCGCAATAAAACAACAAGAATTTGGTGCGCATAAACACGCACAAGCTAAGCTTCCTTGACTGCCGCGCTACACACTGAAGTCCCGCCCTCTCTGTACTCTCATTGGATGAAACGTAAGTGAGTGCACATTCATTGGCTAAACCGGAGACACGTGCCCGCACTCTCAGTCATTTCATTGGATCAAACTTGACATGCACAGGCTGTATTATGACGTACGCATTTCCGGATGCTAAAAGCGTCCACTAGCGGAGTCGCGGCGAATATTAATGCATTTGTTTCTCATATGTGGGCACAAGATCTCCATAAATGTATGAATATGTTTACATTCATATATTTTCTTTTCTGTATGTGATACACATCCTTTAACTATTAATATTTTATTTCTTATTGGACTTATTATTCCCTGAAGGTGACTGTGCATACTTGACTTTATGTTTACTAGATCGAGTACACTCAATTTTTGATTCACCCCATGGGCTACAAGTCAAGTCATTAGTTATTTATGATTCTTGTAATATTGTTTGGATAATGACTTTGAATGCATTAGTAATAGTTTTATATACCAAATGAACTTTAACATTTACATGCAGATGCAGTTGGTCTCCTGTCGGCGGATGAGACTGGTTCTTTTCGCCCCAAGGGAAAAACAGAGCAAAGAGTGAACTTTCTAACAAGCTAGAGAAGAGTAGATGTCCCTGAACGCCAGGAACAACAACCCCATTCAGGTTCAAACTCTCCCTCTGGCTCCTGTGAGATATGCAGATGCTTTGAAAACGTCCACAAGCTACAGCTGTTTGTGGTCAAGCACTACATTATTAATGATGACAATTCCTTTTTTAGCGGTTTCTGAGCTTTTCAGCAGCCGAGGGAGAATCCTTGAGTGTGTGCGGGTTTGAGGGCCCGTGTCTCCCTTTAAGGCAAAGCAGAAGAAATCTCATTAATATCTGAGGGTGAGACACCACTGCAGGTGAATACAAACACAAACACCTGCCAGAGTGGGCTCTCCTTGAGTGATGGCTCTCACAGCGAGAATGAAAGGGCCAGATCTTCTTATTTTCCCAGCATGTGGAAAATCTGAGCTGTTTTTTTTTTTTTTAGGCTGAAGCCTGGTTGCATGGAATCGTGACTAAGTTAATTCAGCGCCCATGCAGGGGGGCCGCACGGTCTGATCGGATTAATTCAGTTATAGAATCATGGGTAGCAGAAGCTCCTATGAAAGAGAGAGTCTCACACATCCAGACCGGCTCTTTCCCGTGTTTAACTAGAAGACACAGACTCATATAATGCTTATTACCGGGACTTTATGAATTTACATAAGTCAAGAGGCATAAAAGGTGAAGGGTTTATATTGAAACTGTCTTCATCTCATCTGAAATCTAATAAGAGAGAGGTGTGATTAGATTTGTCTCTGCGATGTAAATCGTGAGAACATTTCTGATAATCTGATTGAAATATTTCAGTTTGGCACCAACACTTCAGGCCCATTTGTGGTGGACTCGGGACTTCAGGTGTGTTGGTTTTGATGGTATCCACCGCTCTGTCACAAAATGCTTTTTTTTTGCATATGTAATTTTTCTTCAACAACCCATTTTAAGGGAAAGTTCATCCAAAAATGCAAATTCTGTCATTTACTCACCCTCAAGTTGTTCCAGACCTGTTTGAGGTTCTGCTTTCTGTTGAGCACCAGAGAAGATATTCTGAAGGATTTTGGTAACCAAGCAGTTGGCATTGACTTCCACAGTATGGGAAAAATATGGAAATATGGAAGGCGATGGCTACGGTCAACTGTATATTTTTATAGCTATCTGCTTATATAGACAGCAAAAAAGAAAAGTATTATTTGATGGCCCAAATATACAGAGGATCCTGGTTTAAACCTGTAGTTTTAATATTAACGCCAAATTAAAGCTTATTTCCACCACAGATAAAAAAAATGAATACGATTTTTTTTTCTCACAATTAAATTTTTTCTCGTAATTCTGAGAATAAAAAGTCAGAATTGTGAGATAAAAAGTCACAATTACTTTTTAGCATTTTTATTCAGTGACGAAAAATAAGCTTCCATAGTTTTCAGCCACAAATCAAACCAAAAGTCATTTGTTTTCAATGAAAGTTGCTGATATCAGCGACTGTGACAGCTTTATGCAAACCTATATTTTTTTAACCAATGGTTTTCTATAAAACAGAAACAGACTGACAACACTCACATTATCAGTGTGTTCACATTGACAGCAATTTCTCCTTGGTTGCTATAAGCTGCTCCCATTGGTAGTTGCCGCATTGCATTACTGCTTATTTGCATGAATTTGAACTTTGTTACATTGTACAGAGGTGGAGAAAACCCTTATCTTTTGTTATTGCTGTCAAAGCCTGTGCATCCAATCAAACCTGCAGATGTTCAGGTTGTGTAACACACCTTCATCCTCCAAAAACATGATCAAAACTATGCAAAAATAGGATAAAGATGGTTTGTGTGGTAAATTATTGGCTGCTGAGAGCATGAAATCAATTTAAGACACATTTAGAAAGCAAATACTGAATGATTCTGCATATTGTTGGGCCTAACAAAATAATGTTCTTTTTAGCAGCATCATATGACCCCTTTAATACATTAATGTGTGATTTTTAGTATTATTTATATAGTATTTATTCATATTTTGAATTCACTTCTATTTTTATCTTTTCATATATATATTTGTGTGGGTGTGGGTGTGTTTTAATACATTTGTTATGTGCTTTTGTCATGTTTATTATTATTATTTTTTTTTTTACAAATATTTCTATACAGTTTAATTTTTTTATTTCAGTTTAATTTTAGTACTTCTACATAAACTTATTTCAGTTAGATGCCAAGGCAACATTTCTAATTTCATGTAGTGTAAGTTTTAAAAATATTTCAAAAATGTTTTATATTTTGTCAACATTATTTCATTTACCGAAAATGATTTTTATTCGTTTTAGTTAAGAATAACAATTCTTTAGGTGTATTGTGTCCTCGCCTGATATAAAAGACAAAATCTGGTTCTCGAAGTTTCTTCCTGGCGCTTCGTTCTCCTTTAAAGACATTAACCGTGCTGACAAATGTCAGTGAAACCATGTAAATCTCGTCATGAAAGGTCACATAATGTCTTTGCAGCACCTGATTCATTAGAGGCCCTCCAGATCAGGGGCCAGAAAAGAGGCGACACTTGAGAACTGGACGTTTATATTTATTCATATAAGGATCAGACGGCATGTTGGACCTGTGGCGGCACAGTTCACACATACGACATCAGTCCTCCGAGAGTCCAGAAAGAGCACTCGTAGTCCTCTGCAATCCCAGAACACCTTGCTCTCGGCACATTCACAAGTGAAGGGAAAAAAAAATGTAGACAACAACAAACAAGTTTTCTCAGAGCATAACGCACAGGAGAACAGTGTAGACAGATTTGCATTTTAATACAAAGGCATATATTTTCTTTAGGACATAAAATATTAACTGCACAGCAGTAAGAAAAGGTCGTGTACAGATTGTTTGTTCATACACACCATTGAAACACAATTTCGGGTCGGTACAATTGTGCTAATCAATAATTCGTTTTGCATAAAGACCAAACGTAATGGCAGCTGTCCAGAGGGAACGTTTTGACATTCTCCTCCACACATTTATTCAGCTCGAGCATTTTTCCCAATGCGGTAAAACTCCTAAAAAGCACACACACACACTCACAACAAACACCCAAAAGATGCTTTTGCTCTATACATACAGCATGTTCAAATATATCGGCATATTCTGGCTACAGCACACCTCTGAATACTGCACTTACTGATGTCTAACACCACACTTCACATACGCCACGACCTCTGACCTCTACACGCCCCACGACTACCGAAACCCCACCCACCCCGACGTCTTCAACACCGTACCATCACGTTTAAACACTTTTTAAGGCACGTTTTGGCTACAGAAAGGCGTTAAAAGAAGCGGTTTACACTCGACTACGGAGACTTGCATCTGTGCTTGTGCTGCTTTAAAGCGACAGTTCATCCAAAAAAAAAAAAATTATTATTTACTCACCGTCATGTTGTTCCAAACCTGCAGACTTTTATTTTTCCAGTGGAACACAAACGTAGAATTTTTTTAATTGTTTATATGTCGTTTTTGTCTTTTTATGGCAGGAAACATGTGAAGATTCTTCAGAAGATAATTTTTTTAGGGCTGGGCATTGACACAAATTTCACAATTCGATTCAGTTCTGATCTAAATTCGATTTTGATTCATTTTGATATGTATGTATGTATGTGTGTGTGTGTGTCAGTATGTCAGATTTTCTCAATGAAATATTTTATTTCTACTAATGCTGTAGGGAAACCTGTCAGTTGGTTCATTACTATAATATTTAAGGTTTAAATAATTTAAAGGTAAAAACTGACAACTGATTTGTATACAAACATTTAAATTGCACATCAGGCAGTTTTTATGGTAATTACATAATTATCTTTCTAGTCCAAGTAGTTTTTGAAATATAAACATTTAAATGCTGGCTGCCATAAAAACGTATTTTCATGACGGATTTAGTTCACTACAAGTTTGTTTTGCTATTCGGCCCGAATCAGTTTTCTAAAGTGTTTTTGAAAAATCACATACCCTGCCTTTAAATAAATGAAGAACATGTCAAGTAAAAATAATATAGCGTATATATATTTAGCAAAATGTTCCTCTCTAGAGTTTTATTTTCTACCTAACTGTCAAGTTTATAAACATTGAATGGCTTTCCTGAGGTAAATGTACGGTACTTGACATTTAGTTTTATTGACGTCTTTCTGCGGTTAAAACGCTGATTGAGGCACATGATACATTTCAGTAAGTTGTACTGTATCTTTCAACATACCTTCTGATGTTCGTTTATTTATTTCGTCCTATAACTTTAATTAAAGTGCAACCTATGACTCTGAAGCTATGGTTTGAACTGAGGCGCTATATAGCGATCGGTCACTCCACATTTAAGAGCACCAAAACAGTACTTATTGATTGAATTTTGTAATAAAATAGACAGAATTTGAAAGCTAAGACTTTATTTCTTATCAAATGTAACAAAGCACTAAGCTTACTGCGATTTACTGGATAGGATGCACACTCGATAGGAACGACACGAGGGTGAGTTAATGATGATCACACGTTTATTTTAGAGTGAACAATCCCTCTAAAATCAAAGAGTAATTGGCAAGAGTAGACTCGAAAGCATGGAGTCAGAATCACACATGCAGTTACGATCATCAAACGCAGCTCCCGCTGCTTGTGTTAAAGCAGACGGGAAGAGAGAGGGAAGGCCGGCCCGTGCCAAAGCGCTTCACGCCTAGCAGCTCTGCCCAACTCTCTGACAGAAAGAGAAACGGAGAGATCTGACATCGCATGCCATCTGCTACCACGAAACCGCTGCTCTCAGATCAGTAACAGGCAGCGAGATCAGACTATTTCCATAGAGAAGGCCGTGAAACTCCCTGACCCGCTACAAAACTTGAGTTCAGTGGGCCACATTAACAGAAAACCTGTTTAAAGACCCTGTGAAAGTAAAATTGGAGTTTTGTGGGTTTTATGTCATGTCTGTTAGCTTTAAGGCTAACATTTATATGTTAATGTACCTTTAAATACTGACAAAATACATTTGTTTAAATGTCAGGGACTATATTTTCTGTCAGAAGGATGAAAAGTATGTAATATTTTGTAGAAACAGTTTAATGAAATCAATCGTGGCCATGCTTTGTAACTCCAAACAAAACCCTTTAGCCTTGACTATATTCTAGTACCTTATTGCTTGGTTTTATCAGATACACAACCGTTCAAAGGTTTGGGGTGAGCAGGCTAAGATTTTTTTCTTCAAAGAAATTAATACTTTTATTCAGCAAGGATGCATTCAATTGATCAAAAGTGACAGTAAAGACATTTATAATGTTACAAAATATGTTTCAAATAAATGCTGTTCTTGTGAACTTTACAAAAAAAAAAAAAAAGTATCACACTTTCCACAAAAACATGAAGAAGCACAACCGTTTTGAACATTAATATTAATAATAAGAAATGTTTCTCGAGCACCAAATCATATCAGAATGATTTCTGAAGGATCATGTGACACTGAAGACTGGAGAAATGATGCTGACAATTCTGTGTCACAGGAATAAATTACATTTTAAAATATATTCAAATAGAAAAAAAGTTATTTTAAATTGGAATATTATATCACAATATTTCAGTGGGGAACTTAGGAATTTTAGGGAAATTACGCAGTCTTAGTGAGCTTAAGAAACTTACCAACCCCAAACTTTTGAATGGTAGTGTATATGCATGAATTGTCTATTTTCCACAATGCTCTCTAGAATGAGACTGTCCCTCACATGTTACAACTAGCACTATCAATTTGATTATTTTTTTCAGCCTGTAACGCAAAACAAAATGCTTCAAGCCTTTTCTTGATGTCTTTAAGATGACAAGCAAATGTTACATAGCTGTAAAAAAAAGTTTTGTCCAAAGATAAAAGCGTCTCTGGGAGCAGAATTTTGGCTGAGTGCTACCGTACCATCTTGTTTAGTGGCAATTAACAAACAAATTAGCGTGTCATTATCCTCCCTGCCAAAATAAAGCCATTAATGATCCAGATCACACATCTAAACCCTTTCCAATAGAGCCGCAAACAGTCGGATGAGAAGTTTTCAGTCAATCCTCTCAGCTTTGCTCAACCATCTCAGGCCAGAAACACAGTCTATGCAAGCTGAAATTGAAAACATCTATACTCTTGCATACAGCCTGTTTCAGGCATTGTTTCAGAAACGGCCAAAAATCTGTCCTGTACATCGACCGTTTGTGCTTTATGTAATAAATTCAGTCAGTAGCAAAGTTCTCACAATAAAACAATTTTCTGAAGTAAACTGAAATAAAGGCTTTGCACAGGTAAAAAAAAGAAATGCCTCATGACAACTTATTATTGCCTGTGTTGATTATTTGTGGATCTACTAGTGAGTCCATATGGCTGAACAGAAACAGTTGGTTATGAAATGGACGGCCATTTGATCGTCTAAACGGATATGTTTGGAATAACATACTAGCATACTGCAGTGCAGCACACACTATTTTGTGTCGAAATGTCTCAACTTTTGGCTCAAATAATAAGTTAAAAAGGTGTTAATAATGATAGCTGATATTAGATCACGCTGAAAATAGAAGGTCAGGATGAGTGCATTGCATTGTGGGATATAGTATTTTGTGCAGTATACTCTTGTGTTAAGGTGTGGTCACATTAGCGAAATTTCAGCATGGATCTGTCCGTGAAAACATACCGAACAGTGGTAAATGTGACTTAGTATGGGTAATATGCTAGTATGCTGTTCCGAACACATCCCATGCAAATCCTGCTGTCACCTTCAGCTGCTTTTGATTGGACGAGACCACATGTGACCTCACCGTAGGCACACCCCCTGCTCACACACACTGCAGGGTCATAGGCAGCTCCCTTTTGGTCAAAATATAGGCATCCTTTCACACACACACACACACACACACACAGAAGCTTTAAAAACAACTGATACAAGGCCGTCTATTTAAAAAGTTATTTTCCTCTTATAAAGCTTTCTGCATAAAGACTGCACATTAAAAAAAATATAGAATACGATTCTTAAAACCTTTTGTCTCTACACAGGAAGAAATTGAACATCTGATTATAGTGATGAGCTAAATACACACTGAGAGCGTTCGTTCGGACAGGGTTAGAGGTCAGTCACTTTGTTCTCCAGCGCTGCGGCGATCTGCTGCAGTCTCAGTGTTAACTGTTTACTCTGGGCAGCAGGATCTTCATCCAGAGACATGATGATCTACAGAGACAGACAACGACCATGAGCCTTCACTACACACACATTATACACACTATCTATCTATCTATCCGTCCGTCCGTCCGTCCATCCATCCATCTAATAGTCTGTCTGTCTGTCTGTCTGTCTATTTGATGTTTCCCCCCCTCCATTTTCAATCATCTTTTAGCTGTTTATTTAAATGGTCCTGCTGTGTGACAAATTCATTTTTTTCCCCGTATAGTCTCTTAATGAATGTAAAACGACTTGCATATTAATTATACAAAAAAACAACAAAAAAAAAAACAACGTAAAGCTTAAGTTCAAAATACTTGTATATGTCACTGCTGTCAGTTCTTCATGTCAGTTACCCGTGTGTGTGTGTGTGTGTGCACTCACCCCATCGTAGTATTTGCTGGCGTACCGGTAGAGCTGATGAAGAGCCACTTGAGTGTTCAGTTTGTCTGTGTGCGCCTGAAAAACAAACATAAATCATCACCAGTCTGTTAATTTTCCCTAAAACCCACAGAAAGCCCATCACACACTCACCCGTGACACTTCAGCCAGATGTGTGTTCATTTCCTGGTCACTGACTGACACCATCTGCCGGATTCCTGTATAGTACCTGTGGAGAAACACAACAGACGTCTGATCCAAACTGCAGCTAAAAACACCTACTCTGAACAGGGTTGGCTGCTTTACATATGAGTCTGAAGGTCTCTACCTGTCTCTTAAATTGCATTTAAATCTAAAACAAAAAACAAAACAAAAACAGCACAATATACTGTTGTGTATCTAAATATAACTTATTTACCTACTAAAGTGTCTCAAAAATAAAGATAATCAAGAATAACTTTAAAAGAGCAGACTAGTTCTACCTCAGAATAGCTCAATGTATCCGCCTGGGAACATAAACACAACTTGGTTTCCCAGAGGACTGATAAAAACCTGTCGCTCTGACTCCCAGATATTGCATAAACCCAGTCAATCAGATCATGCTGAGAAAGTTCTCGGCATTTCTGTGCACAACATGCATCAGACAGTCTGTAAACCATCTGTGGGCGTTCGGCTGGAGGCTGAGACTGCGTAATACTGGAGCACTTACTCGTCTACCATCCTTTTGTAGGTGGAGATCTCCTTTGCATAGAGTAATTTGTTGCTGGGAGAATCCTGCAGGCAACAGACAGAGAGAGAGAGAGAGAGCAAGTCGATAAATGATGTGTTTCTGGGTTCGTTTGTCTGTGGCTGATTCTCAAACACTTACCCGACTGAGTTTGTGCTCTGTTTTTGTGCAGGCGTCCATGAAGGTCTGAGCTATGACAGACAGAGAGGCGTCCACGACCTCGCTCACATGCACGTCAAAAATGAAGTGAGGGTTCTTCAGTATGTTTACCCAGAAACGCAGCGGCAAACTGCAAAGAGAGGCGGATGAATATTAAAGCGGCTGTGAATATGAAATACTTCACTCAGGATAGTCAAGGTTTCTTGCAACAAAACATGCAGTAATTTAGGCATTTAGTTTCACACTTCAGCAGCCTTGGTTCAGAAAGTAATTTTCATGTTCAATAAAAGTCAAGTATATAATATATATGCTTACATACAATATATATAATGTTAAATAATATATTTATATACAATTCATAGCCACCATTTATTTAATGTTCTTTTCCCCACCATTTTCAATGGTGAAAAATTTATTTTATTCCATATAATCTCTCAAATTAATATATATTTTTTTAAATACTTATGAAATATAGCATGTCACTGCTGTCACTCCTTCATGTCAACTACTATATATATATTTAGAATGGACTATTATATATATATATAGATTTATATAAATAGTAAATTCTGAAGTCAATATTTATATTTAATACATTTTATTTTAACACGCACACAAACACACACACACACGCGCGCACACACACACACGCGCACACATACATAATAAAAAGAACAATACTGCTCATTAGTACATTTTTAAGTTAAGTCAATATTTATATTTAATACATTTTTAACTTAAACTGAATAAACTTAAAAATATTTAAATATAGTATTTTGATAAATATTCACTTTTCTGAGTGGTTGCTAGGGCTCAGGTTCCTCCTTCCATGCAACATATGGGTTCTTTTCAGCGTTTTATCATCCTTTAGTCAAAAATCATAAGTCTGATGACTGAGTAAAGTAACAGCACACCTCTCTTGAACAAACTGTACGATTTGAAGAATCGTTCATGTCAAACAGTGCGGGTCGAATTATGAGCCAGAGTTTAATAATCACAGTCAGGGGTTTGTTTTAAATCTCTAACCCTCGGGATGAGCAACTGCGGTGCTCTCCTTAGCAAACACCGCTAATTATGTATTTAATCCATTTTATACTGAGTCTTTCCTGCGGTTGGCGCATAAACTCACATTTACAAATTTACAGAGCAAATAATTCACTCAATCCGCCCCTCAATACTCACTCCGTCGGAGCATGAACACGGACAGATGGCTCTGGAATTTCAAACAGGTTATTAAACAGCTCTGGCTTTTGTTTCCTGTGAGCCGGTAAAAAAAAAAAAAACTCAATTCAGATGACTGATTCTGGAATATATATTGGCAAGTCGCATCTCTGCAGAGAAACAGCGGAGAGAAAAAACAAAAGGTGTATAATAACAGAACAATTAAATTAACCAGGGACGTAATTAAGGTGTTTGTCTGGCTGTGAGTGGGTTTTATATTTAATAGAATCGCTGGTGAAGCTGCTGGAGTGATGATATTGCTCGTCACATTTATTCACATCTCAGCGGCAGCTGTCAATCACGCAGCATCCGCGGCAGCACGTCAGGCGGAATAAATGAATGCAGCGCTGGCATTAGCATTTGCCGAACGGTCTCGAGAGAGACACTCTCACTCTCTCCCACCTGTTGGTCTTCCAGATGTGTATGGTTTCTTCATCTACGTTCTCATGTCTAAGGGCTTGCTCATCCAGGAAGTCGAAAAAGTATTTAACCGCCGGCGGGACGCTGGCGCCAGAACAGAGCACACTGCGAAAGAAATCATCCACGAACTGCTGCAGCGTACCCTGAAAACACACAGACACAAAAACAGGTTAATTAGAGTTTAGCACTTTCAAATGCATTTCATTTTAAAAGTGCTGTAAGTGTTTTTTTTTTATGCGTAAAATTATTCTTCTAACTCACAGTTATCACTAAAATTCTCTCTAACGGCCCCAGGCTTTCGTGAAAAAAAAAAAAAAAAACTTTCTCAGATTTGATGCCATTTGATGTTATTATTTTTATTTTATTTTTTGTAATATTTTATAATTACAGGTTAATACACACACACAGACACACACACACATATCTAAGAAAACCTTTTAAATACACACATATATATATATATGTGTATACACATACACACACTCTCTCACACACACACACACACACACACACACACACACGTATATGTACATTTTTATTTATGTCATTTTAACTCTGCAAACCCCCAGAGCTAATTTTTATGAGATATATAAAAATATAGAGAATATAGCCTATTTGTCATATAAATGCAAAATGAAAGGAATTCAAATAATCAATATAACTTAAAATATTTAAATGATAAAGAATTAAAATTGGTGAGCAACTAAAATATTTTTACCTTTAACTATTGACAGCTCCAAATTATATAATTACTAAATTATTACTAAAAATAATTGAAATGTACAAACAAAAAAATATTAATTAAAAAACATAATTTTTTGTTTTTTTATATTTTTTGTTATATTGAGTTAAATATATAACAAAAATGTGTTTTTATAAATGTTAAGTCACTTCAAGTAAATTATTTGAGGTTCAGGTGACAAAAATGGTTGAAAACCCTTGATACAAGTTATAAAACCTGAGTTCTGAAACATCACACAGATCTTAAAAACCAGCAGAAAAGCATCTCATTTCTTCACACGTCAGCCTGCTGGGTCACTGACAGTCACACATACGCTTTTACACGCTTGCTTGAGCGCTTCTCGTCTTCACTACGCTTTGTTTCTGTCAGCACTGACAGCTTTACGTGCCGCTGAATTACTCCTGTACAAGGTGAAAGACTTGCGAGTAATTAGCCTCTCTAATCGCCCAATTTACAGCGAACGGCCTCTGACACAAGGACATGCAACAAACCAATCAAACAGAATTAGACTTACACGCTGTGAGTTAAGAGAACATGCGAGCACTCAGAAGAGTTCCTAGAGGTTTATGGAGGTTACAATAATTATATGACACACTTCCCACATTAAATACTGTTGTAGAATTGGACTGTTCACAAATCACAACTGATTATGCACCGTTTTCATCTTCCATCAAAATGTACATAGCTAAAATAATTTCTTAATCAGTGGACGGACTTTTAAAAAATTGTTATCTATTGAAATTATGTTTAATACAAGATAAATGTACATGTTTTTAGAGAATCAAATGTATTTTTCATACTTTTTACAAAAAAAAATCTAACAGAATCCAGTCAGGTGCCTGTTCAATAATGTAACAATAATAAATTTATATAAATTATATGTTCTCCAAAAAAAAAAAAATTTTTAACAATATATTAATTCAAAAATATAAACAATAAATAATTTGACAAGGTCAAATAAGTCAAATTAAAATTTTTAAATGTCTATTTAGTTATCAGTTTGAAGGGCAATTTATTTTCATTAATAAACTGATCATTTATTTCTTCATTTTATTAAATGGCACTCTCAGTTGTCTATGCAATGTTGCTTTTGACATTAATTTTCAATACATTTTACTGTTGTTTTAAAATTTTAATGATTTTAATATTTCACATTTAAATATTTTATTTATATAATAACTTTGTCTCTAAAACATCTTTTCTCCTGAAGTACACAAAACCACAAAAAAAAACAATATCATAGTCTACATTTCACAATCCAAACAAATCTGGTTAACAATATATTAATTCAAAAATATAAACAATAAATAATTTGACAAGGTCAAATAAGTCAAATTAAAATTTTTAAATGTCTATTTAGTTATCAGTTTGAAGGGCAATTTATGTTCATTAATAAACTGATCATTTATTTCTTCATTTTATTAAATGGCACTCTCAGTTGTCTATGCAATGTTGCTTTTGACATTAATTTTCAATACATTTTACTGTTGTTTTAAAATTTTAATATTTCACATTTAAATATTTTATTTATATAATAACTTTGTCTCTAAAACATATTTTCTCCTGAAGTACACAAAACCACAAAAAAAAACAATATCATAGTCTACATTTCACAATCCAAACAAATCTGGATAAAATCCAGTGTTATTTTAGAATAACTGATATACTAATATAATGTTTCTTAATACTATGAATTACATTTTATTATGTATTTTTCTTTATTTTTATTTTAGTCTTAGTTTAATTTTATTTTTTATTTATTGCTTTAGTTTGAGTTATTTTAGTACAAATTAAACTAAATTTGAGTTCAAATCAAACTAAACAAAATTAGAAACGATGCCTTGATAACTAGCTGCAATAAAATACGTTTAAGTTATTTATATTTAGTTATTATTTCAATTGACTTTTTCTTTAAGGTTTTAGTTTTAATTAACATGAATAACCCTGATCAAATCATGTCCCACCAACAAAAATGATGCAAGTCAAATATAATTTGTTTTCTAAAGGAGCAGCTCATTTAGTGAGAAGAAGAGGTCAGTACCTTGACGGAGAGCAGTCGGGTCAGATAGATCTCAGTGATGGCTTTGGTCATGGATTTGTCCTTTATACTGCCTCTCTTGGATTTCATCTCATCCAGCTCATCGGCCGGTCGCACCAGGTGAAAAACTTTATCATCCTCCAGCAGGGCGTTTCCTGTGAGTTCAGGTGAAGAGAGTGTACGAGTCAGAGCGTGAGTGACAGATCACACTTAGAAAGCAGACTTCAACTCACTCTCTTCATGGTTATCATGATTTTGGTCGTACGACTGCTGCGTGTGCTGCACTCTGGAAAGGACCACCGCTGCATTATCACATACCTAAAAGCACAAACACACACAAAAGTCACGCTTAAGACACTCGTATCTTTGCTGGACCCAAAAAACAACATATGCGCTCACGTTATAGTGTGCCAGCGTATTGATACGTCTCCATCTGCCCTCCTTCTGCGACGTCACGTCTAGATCTGACAGGATCTGTCCCGTGGAGCCGGGCCGCCATTCTGTGCAAGAGACCAGAACGCGTAAAGATGAAGCAGCGTTGTGCTGGATGTGAAATCATAACCGATTACACACGTGCGCTCACTCACCGAGGGTGACGCTGTCTACTTTGGGTCTCTGAGAGTGCGGCTGGTTTTTGTACACCTGCTCGATGATCTTCTCCTTCACCTGAGAGATGGTGTCACAGTTCAGCACCTTCACGGGGGTGATGTCGGGCCCCTCGCCCTGAACCTGCACCTGCAGCGTCTGGGGTCAGACAGCAAACTCATACACATGTTCTGAACATCCTAGAAAATACTGCTCGTTCATGAAGTGACAAAATCAATTTCCCTTCATCACCCCTTTTCTGGTAAAATAATGTGAGAATAAAGTGGCTGTATATTTTTACATCTGATATAAACACTATAAATATTATATTATATATTTTAATAAATTATAAATATAATTTCAATTTATTAAATTTATATCATATACATGTATAGAATCTTTTATTTATATTATAGGTGTAATATATAAATGACAAATATTATATTATACATGTTTACAATAAATTTGTAGTAAATGTATACAATTTGATATAAATACATTTTACAAATGATATAAATATGAATTTGCTTTATTACATTGTTTTCGCTTATTTATTCAACCTGCTTCTTTATTAATTAAACTGTAGGAAATTTAACAAAAGTTAAGCTTTTTTCAAATTTGAAATCCAAATCAAATCTGCCTTCAATCCTCACTTCCCAGGGAACGAAGATTGAATGTGTCTCTAAATACAGATATTTGGGTATTTTAATAGATGAATCTGCATGCTTCGTCTCAAAGTTTACATGCACTGGACACTGTATACCATGGAGCTCTGAGGTTCATCACTGGTTTTAAAGTCCTCACTCACCATTGTGAACTGTATGATCGTGTTGGATGGTCTTCTCTATCAATGCGGAGACTTCAACATTGGTATATATTCATATACAAAGCTATTTTAGGGCTACTTCCATCCTACCTTCTGACCTACATCAGTGTAAATAATACTGGGATCTTCGTTCACAGGATCTTTTCCTTCTGTCTGTTCTAAAGGTTAGAACTGAGCTGGGAAAAAAGGCGTTTAAGTATGCTGCTCCCTCTTCATGGAACAAATTACAGAAATCTATGAAAATTAATACGCTGGTCTCATTGGTCGCTTTTAAGAGGATGTTAACTGACTTGGAGGCAGTCACATCTGGCTGTAGATGTTCTGCCTGATGTGTTATTGATTGTGGTTTATTTTAAAGGATTCGCTATTTCAGTTGTTTTATGCTACTATATTTTATACCTGTATGTATGTATGGTTGTACTGCTGCCTATCTTGGCCAGGACACTCTTGAAAAAGAGATTTTTAATCTCAATGAGTTTCTTCCTGGTTAAATAAAGGTAAAAAAAA